TAAAGACTTGATGTCAAATGTTTTTCCCCATTTATAAATCACACTTTTCTGTCTCTCTCTTCCCCTTCTTCCCTCTACTCCCTTTTCACAGAAGTTAGATCCTTCTCAAGCAGTTAAGTAGCTTAGAAATTTTGATGAGGCAATCAAAGGACAAAACACAAAAAGGCTAATGCCCTTCAGCATTTCAGCATGAAATAAATCCATGGTGTTATTTTTGGAATTAGAATTTTCACTTCACTCTTGCAATTAAGTTTGTAATTATTTGTTTATGTTACCATATGCTATATCTGTATTAACTTGAAAATTCAAGAAGAAAACAAAGTTTTCAAACCTTATGAAGTGAACTTTATACGGCCTATCACTCCGTAGCCCTTCCAACAAACAGACATTGGTGCTTTTGCTGTGCCATCTAATTATTGTTTACTCTAAGACAGTTTTTTTCCAGGCAGAAAATATCTTTTCCTGGCAAGTAAGCATACAGCTATGATTCAAGAATACATCGCATGTGAACATCCTCTGACAATACATCAAGCATTTTGAGAAAAAAGTGAATGAAAAGAGAAAGCAGGGAGAAACCTCTTATTAAAGGCTGCAATCAGATCTAGATGAAGGGGTTGGGGAGTTTTAGTTATAGGAAAATTTTGTAGCATCTTAGTTAATCCATAATTAAGGTAGTAAAAGAGTGATGTTAGAGCCAGGATGGTTCAGAAATTATGTAAGAAGGAAGGACTTTTTAGGCTGATATCTCTAATTGGACCAACTATGTAGCTGGGATAAAGTTAAACAAGCTTTCCAGTGCAATACATTCTTCATCAGGTTTCATTTCACAGGAAGCCAGGCATAGCATAATGAAAAAAACAGCAGAGGCTAAGAAAAATTCTCAAGAATAGCAAACATAATTAGCAGAAGAAAATAAACTGATCATTGGGAGATCAAGATCTATCAAAAGGGAGGAGGGTCATTTCCACCTTTCTGTGGAAAGAATTCAGGAATTGGATAAAATACAATGTGCCAAAAAGTCTTATCAATGTTTAGCCCTTGGTTCTTCATGTAGCATCTTTTATTGGACCAACTATGTAGTAGAGATAAAGTTAGACAAGCTTTCAAATGCAAGACATTATTCCTCAGGTCTGTGATCAAATGAAGTTAGGCACGGCATAGTGAAAAATCAATCCTTGCCTTCATATAAGCTAGCTTACAAGAAAGAAACAATTTTGACCTAGGGCATGACATTTCTTAAAGGATCCATTCTTGAACTGATTTTAACTCACAAATTTAATCAACCAATTTCCCTTCAAATTTTCAAAAAATGAATTATTTTTTCAGACTGGGTACAGTAATTTTGAGAAGACTATGCCACATTCTTCATACCTACATAGCTGAAGTCCTGCTTTTACATGAAGTACTCACCTCAACAGTAACTGGCAGTGCAAGTGGCATTTCCACAATAGTAGTACATACATTATATATACACATAATATATAATGAACATGTCTAATACATTGTGTGTGTGTGTGTGTGTGTGTGTGTACACATACATACACATGCAATGTACTGACATAGGCATAAAATAATGTTTTATTTTCTTATATAGGCAGGAACGGAGCTACAGAAAATATGACAATTACACAGGATCTTTTTTTGGTACCAAAGCAGATGGTCATAAACATATTGTACCAAAAAAAATAACATGCATTATGGAAGTGACTTGTGTTTTGAGTAGAAGCATACCCATTGGTGTGATAAGTATGATATAGGTGGAGATGTTCAAGCCACTAGAAGGAAAAGAAGTCTTTCCTCTTCCTCTCCTCTAGTAAACAAGCCCCATTATTCTTCTGTGCTAGGCTCCCTTTTCACATATTGGCATCAATTTTAAGAATGTTACCATATTTACTCAAATGCAAGATAAAGTCTTTTTCCCCAATCAGCAGGGAGGAAAAAGCCCCTTGTCTTCCATTTTCATACAAGGAAAGCTCATTAAATATACTGTATGTCATTAAACTGCTATCAAAAGCAGCATGTGCTCAATAATAGAAACCAACTATGAAACTGACTAAATGCAGCTAATAAACACTGAGAATAACTATAAAACACATGTCTCATATAAGGTAAACATCAAATAACCAAATCAGTTCTGAATCATATCAGTTTAGCAGAACTCAATTGTTCCAAAACCCATATTGATTGAGTAGGCAGAACTCAATCGTTCTAAATACCACATATAGCACTAGAATGGACAAGCATCCTCCATCCCATTCCTATCACCCTGGGACTTCATATACTCCCAAATCCATCGGCAGGCATCCTATGTGCAGGCCTAAGCCCACAGGTCTTGGAGTTCAGATACTGCCAGATACTACAGGCAAGTATCCTCCATCCCAGACTCTTTAGTCCGGGACTTCAAATAGCCCACAAGAAGCCAAGAAGTGATGATAGCAATATATATTTTACTTTTCCTTAAGGAAAAATTTTCGTGTCCCAGGTCAGATTAGCTAGATCAGTTCCGAATCCCTTGAATCATTCAAAAACCTTATGTGGCCCTACTGCTGGCAAGTATCCTCTACCCCAACTTTTCAGCCTGGGGCTTCAGATACTTCCAAATCCTTCACCAAGCATCTTACGTGCAGGCCCAAGCCCGGACGTTTGGGGTTCGGATACTCCCAAGTTTTGCTGTACAGCTGCAGAAGCAAGCTAGGGAGGAGTCTCCAATTTCCATAAAGTCGGCATGTATCCAAGATCCTCCCACTGGAAGTTAGCCATTGGGAAACTAACTATGAGGCTCCTGTAGAGAGTCCTGTCTGTAAGCAAACAGACATGAACCGTCCACTACACAAAGCCATTTTTAAGCCACCTATATGGTCAGGGTACTTTCTCCTGCCACTTTCATGACTGTAGTATTTCCCCTGCCAGGTGATAATGGGAATCTACCACAAAGATAGATTAGTGCATTGCATCTAAATAAGATATATGATAGTGCCCATTGCACACAGTCCCTCTCAGCACTGACTCTTTTTCAAGTCATGGTGAGCTACTAACATTGCATACATTTCGACTTCCTCTTCTCTCCCATAGCTAAGATACACCATTTTTCCCCATTTCCTGAGTTGTGTTTCTTCACTAGCCTTAAATGTCTGGCAAATATCACCAAATGAGCCCCCAAACAGTTCACCCAGAATCCCTCTGTCACCCCCCAGCCTGGTATGGCCCTGCCTCCATGAGGTGGAGCCATACCCATTGCCCTACACCTCCTTTGCATATATATTTTTGAAGCATCCCAGGATTCATAACAAGATCACTTGGTTCCAGTCATGGGTGGGGTGCTAATTAGCATATGGATCATTTGTGAGGGCAGAGAGGTGTCTGGTGTACACATGTATATTGAGCAGTTCTGAACTATGGGGTCACCATGGCTTGAAATGTTGTCGTCTCTGCTGGGACCCATCCTAATGAACTATATGATAAATCATGAGCCTTTTGGCTTTGGGCTAATATCATGCTCAGTGTGGGTGCAGCATTACATAGAGGGGCAAAGATACCAACCATGCTGCCTCAGGGAAATAAGAGATAATCCACCACCTCCTGTAGTACCTTTTGCCAAAGGGGTGAGGAAGTTTTTACACTTCTCAAGATGGTGAAAGGAATCATAATTCTGACCAGAGCCTGGCTTATCTGCTTATCTCCTCACACTCTAGCACCTTCATAGGATTTGGTGGCATCCCATGATTCTCCAGCAAGTTTGAGAATCACTGATGAAGCCACTGAAGACAGTTCTTACCTCATGATTGGAGAAGAGCTGAACTGCTTCCATTTGGTGGAAAATTGGGTAATGAGATCTATCAATGGTATCACGGCGGTAAACATCTCCCACAACCAGAAAGGCATCTAGCCCAGAGTGCATCAAGTCCCATTGGTGGGCTGAAGTGTGTGCTCTCAGCATGTGGGTGCAATTCAGGTAGTAGTTATCCTCTTTCTTCCTGCTGGGATGGTTTTGTGGAATAAGCAAACTATCAAAGTTTTGCTCCACTGTCACGACTGGGGAGAAATGATCATAAACAGAAAACAGCGGGGTTCCAAAGCGTCCTAGGTACTGCTTGTAAAAATGATTCTTTATCCGTTCTTTGATGAGCCACAAGGGGTGATGCCTTTGGTTATGCAAGTTCCTCCCCACGTTGGACAGAATCCTCTCAGTAACATTAGTGTAGTCATCCCGGCGGTACACTTTACCATGCAGTTCCACTGTATTTGAAGTAGGTGTGTTAGCAGCAAAATTTGAAAATATGGGCCTGGACCTTACATGCATCAGATCACTGGGGATACCTCTGACTGGGACTCTCTGTGATAAAGTTGCTCTGGAGTAACAAAGTACTCTCATAAGTTTCCAAGGGGTTGCCATCACAGTAACCATTAGGATCTAGAAAAAAAGAGCACAAAAACTATAAGCCAGGATTTTCTTTTTCTCATTATAACAATCGCAAACATTTAATGATGAATAAGTGCAAACTGCCTATTTAATAAACTAGACACATTTCCAGTTTTAGGCCACTACTTTACAGGGAAGTCCTATGACCCAGTTACAGCTGCTTGCAGATCATATAACAAATCTGTCCTTCACCACTTCAGTATTAATGAACTCAGGCCTGATCCTGTCCCATGTGAAGCTGTCAGGATGATAATGTAAGAGAAGGGTAGAGTCTTTCATATTCTTTACATTCTATTAAAAAATAAAAGTAATAGCAAAAAGATGCAAACAAAAAGCTGTGGTGAGGGTTGGCAATATGCATTTTCAATCAGAGATTTGTTTATATTAATATTCCAAGCACTAATGTACCACCATAGATTCCAGATAGGTAAATGATGCACTTAAGCAGCAGGAGCAAAGCAAAAGAGGCAGTACTTTGCCTTATTTATTACACAGGTTTTGTCCACCATTAGGAAGCAGACAGGAAGAACCTCGAACATTTCATAGCAATCCATGCAAACAAAACATGAAGTATTTACTCAAATACAAGATAAAGTATTTCCCCCACAATCAGCATGGGGAAAAAAAAACCCTTGTCTTACCTTCACATACAGGGAAACCACATTAAATACATTGTCTGTCTTTGAACTGCTGCTAAAAGGAGCATAAGTTCACTAATAGAAACCAACTATAAAGCTGATTAAATACAGCCCACATTGAGCATGACTATAAAACACATGGCCCACATTGGACAAACATGTTGATGGAAACCTACCATTTTTTTTTAATTTTGTGTTCCAGATTGAATTGGCCAAATCAGTTCCAAATCCTATGGACTGTGCAGAACTTAAATAGTTCAAATCCATGTGGCGCTACCACTGGCAAGTATCCTCTGCCCCAGACTCTTCAGCCTGGGGCTTCAGATGTTCTCAAATCCATTAGCAGCCATCCTACATGCAGGCCTAACCTTGGAGGTCTTGGGGTTTGGATGCCCCTGCATCTCACTTGCCCTCCGCCAAGAGGCCAAAGGAGTAAGCTGGGGAGAAATCTGCCATTTCCATAAAGCAGGCATATAGCTGAGATCTCACTGGGAGGCTACAGTAGACTCTCATAAGGCTTCCTGTTTGCAGTGCATTGGACAAATCTACACCCACAAACACAATGCCATTCTAAAGAGATCTCACCTGGGCAACAGACCAGTGCAGCAAACTACACTAGATCTTAGCCTACAAGACTAGGGAGACAAATTCAAAAAGCCTGAGCCTGAATTGATTCAATCTTTGCAGCTTAGTCTAACCTGGCCAAGCAAAACCAGTTTGTAACCATTCAGACATACCCTATGGACTGAAGAAATGCCGGCACATGCCTGCAGTGGCTCAGGCTAGAAGGTGGTGGGCTCTAGAGCAGCCCTCCCTTCCACAGTGCTGAGCTGAGGGAGGCATAGCCAGACCCCACAGGATGCTCTGATTAGGGAGGGTTTCCCCCCTCACTGTTGATAACACAGCATTGAGTTACACAGGGAGTTGTTTCAAGGATGTATTTGGTAGCCATGGTTGCATTTATCATCCCATCAAACAAAACAACAGATTCTCTCATTAGTTCAAGCTCTTCTTAAACAGCTTTTTCAAAGGAAGGAACTGTGGGACATTACCAGCTACCTGCTGAGTAGCTCCAAAGAGCCCTAAGCTGACACTGTCTTGTTTGCCTTTGTCCCATCTCCCACAGTATGGACCATAGCCAGCATGTGGTATGCTAGCTAATGCTGAGAGGTGTCTGTGTAAGGCATAGGGGAGGGGGGAATCCCTGCTTGAACAAGGAGTGTTGAGGGGAGCAGGAGGAAGCCAAGCAGATGCCTACAGTCTTTGTCGGAGCTGCAGCCAGGGAGCAGAAGGGAGGGGCCAGCCCTGCTGGGCTGGAGCAAACAGCAGAGCCCTAACCAGAGTTGCAAAGCAACTGGGATGCTGGGGGACTCTGATTTAACTTAAACCAGGAAAGCGTCTGGGACAGACATTACATAAACCAGTTTGACCCAAATCAGTTAAGTGTGATACTACATTCAACCAGGTTTCAGCCATTTTCAAACTGGTTTATGTGCACTGAGCATCTGTTCTGTTACAGGTTTAAACCAGTTTCTGATTATTTAAACTGGTTTATGTGTAATGTCTGTCCCTAGCCCAAGAGGCCAAGAAGGAATAGATTAGTGCAAGCCATCTGAATAAAGTATATGCTAGTTCCCATTAAGCACAGTCCTGCTCAGCAGCAACTCTTTCAAATCACGGTGAGCCACTATGTTGCATACGTTTCGACTTCCTCTTCACTCCCACAGCTGAGCTCCAATGAGTCCTGTTTCTTTACCAGCCTTAAATGCTTAGCAAATATCACCAAACAGGGCCCCAAACAGTTCAACCCCGAATTCCTATGGCGTGCTCTCAGCCTGGCGCAGGTGTCCCTGCCATCCATGAAGTGAAGCCGGACCATATTTGCTCCATGCCTCATTTGCATAAAATTTTGGCAGGATCTCAGGACCCCTCATAAGAACACCCAATTACAGTCATGGGTGGGGGGCTAATTAGCACATGGATCCTTTGTGCTGGGTATCTGGAGCATACACACACACTGAGCACTGCTGAGCCGTGAAGTCACCGTGGCTTGAAATGCTTTTGATTCAGCTGCGGCGCAGCCCAATGAATTATGTGGCAAAGCCTTTTAGCTTTGGACTAACATCAGGCATAGGTTGTATGATACATAAGTCAGTACAAAAGCACTACTTAAAAGTGCATTTACGGAGCACCTCTGCTAAATCTTGCAGCAGTTTAAAAAAAAAAAGTATGATGCATCATTTCTGTATGAATTATATCAAGCAAAACAAAGTACTTTATGCAAATACTACAGGTATATATAATTTAGAGGTTAGTGTTTTCAAATTTGCTATTCACTTTCACGTGCTTACGGAAAGCAGAGTGACAGTAAGGAGACAGGAAAAGGGCTACCGGGAGAAGAAATATGGGTTGACAGAGGGCAAGGGAGCTACCTGACTCCCCAGTTTATTTTTCCTGCTGTAGCAGTAGGAGGACAAATTCAAAGCAAACCTCCAGTAATTAGATACTATACCTGGAAAATTATAACTAATTTATAATTTTTTCCATATATAGAATCTAAATATTGGGGTGGTTATCTTATATTTGAGTAAATATGGTATGTGGCCCACAGTATGCATTTGTAGTTGTTTTTCTATTTAACACCAAATAAAAACAGCTTAATCTTTCAAATGATAAAGCAACTGTGTAAGAGCAGATGGCCAAGCCCCAAGACACATATATAACTAACATATTAAGTTCACATATGAACACTACATGAGGTTCTCAATTAAGATTCCACAACGTCAGACTGATCTTAGCATTTCTGGATGAGTTCAGGTAACCAATATGCCAAACCCACCCCAAATGACTTGTCCAAGCTGATTATAGCACTGTGCAGAGTTGGCTTTTGGATTTTTGTGAAGGTCAATGGAATGGAAGATTGTGAAGATGCTCAGACTTAAGTGACTAATCTTTTACAAAAGTGTGATTTTTGACTATCCCTCAGTTTCTCTGGTTGCAGAAATAGAGCTTGGTTGTGCTGCATTCATAAGTAGCAGCGATATTTTGAAGTAATTAAATAGATAACTGCCAAATAAAGCAGGAATTCTGAAGGCTTCAGGCCCTGTGGTACCATGGGAATTATCTACACTGCAGCAGTAGCACGTTTTGCTAGAAAGCTCCTAACAGAACCCAGCTACCTAGTCTTACTCGTACACTTTGAACATGGAAATATACAGTAAGGCTCTCATAGTTTCCCACTACAATCACTTCCAAGACCTCAGTCCCCACTGTGCTTGACCATGACACCCTAAAGGAGCTGCAGTGGCACATTTCTCCATTTGGAAGATGTAAGTGGGAACAAGGGGGGAGAGGGAGGGGAGGAGCAGTCTCAGCCTAGACAGGCTGCCACAACAGAGTAGCCCTGCCCTTTATATGCCATGTATCTATTGCAGGAAATCTTAGCACTAACATATGCAACCTGGCTTATGCTATGCATGTTCGGCTATGGTTAAAGTTCTGTTTCTAGATAAAGTGTACAACTGTAATGGGCAGGTGGGTCAGATCTGTGTATTCACTGGCTATCCCTTCCAAAACTGTGAAGTTTGTAGGCACAAAAATATTGCTAATAGAAGGTTATGCAAAATTCACTGATGGGTCAGCAGCGTTGGCTCTATAGCACAGGTGCTCAACTACTGGCCTATGGGCCAGATCTGGCCCTGGCACTGTGTCCTCCAGCCTTCAGGGCTCCCCATGGGTCTAGAAATTTAGCAAGAGTAGCACTACTCCCCTGCTACCAAATTTCCACACCCAAGCGGAATCCTGGGCCCTGCACTCAGGGCCAGGCAGGTGTGGCGCTGGGTCCTAGGGCCCAATCCTGATGTTAGGAGCTGGGAGGGGACAGTGTCAGGCCCACAGGGCCCAGTCCCAGAGAACAGGGGCAGTAATGGGGAGTGTCAGGCTCCCAGTGCCCAATCCTGGTACACAGCACAGGGAAGGAGGGCCCAGTCCTGGTACACAGGGCTCTAACCATCCCATGGACCAGCTGTACCACTAATTTGGCCCGTGGGACTAAAATGTTGAGTACCACTGGTCTACGGAGATCTGTAGTGGGGTGGCCCTCAGTTCCAGAACAGCAACAGCACACATGAGAAAGAATCTAAACAGGAGTTACTCCCTAGATAGCATTGTGGCTGATCAGCTCCTCAAGGGGAAAGTGCTTGTGAGCACAAGCCCCTATAGTTGCTACAGGCAGAGGCCTGATACTCACTATAGCTATAAAAGCTAAAATCCTAGCTGTTGAATAGGTCAAGGTCTAAAAAAGCTGGGTTTGCATAGGCAACCCAAAGAAGAGTGGCAGCGACCCCTACTGTCAC